CAGCAGGAATGACAAAGAGAAGTCTAGACAGAAGAAGAAGCCATAATGGTCAATGCAATTATTCCCTAAATGAAACAGAATGAAGGTCCAGAGGTGCTTACAGCAGCTTTTTCTAATTTCTTGCTTCAAGAATGGAATAAAAGTTGCTGCAGGCCCCTTCTCTTTAATTCCCTGCAGTCTTTTGCACAAGAACACTTGTCTTTCCCATGCTTGCTCAAGTTATTATGCAGCACATCTGCATCAGTGTTGAAGAGCTCTCAATACCTCGCATTAGCACAGGCTCAGAGGAACTGCAGGAACTTGAATGGCATTTAAGGCACTGAGTTATATGAACAGTAGTGCTCATTCAGGCTGAAGATGTTAACAGCAGGTTTCTGTGACCACATCTGAACGGAACAGTGATAGAGAGATGGTCCACAACAGCCTTCAACTAGACCACCACACTGTAAATGGTAGCTGTCAAAGACAACTACAGCATCGCTCATTATGTACAGCATGAGAGGAAATCTAAAGTATGAGAGATTTAATATATTTGCTTCTTGAACACTCAGTTTTCGCACAAGGAGAACGGTAGTAAACCAACAAATACTTAAATTTAGGCAGATATTTTGTAGTTTATCTTAATTAAAGAGGAAAAAATTAAATCATTGAGATGCATCTCCTCTAATTATGTGTGACACACGGATTTTTGCTAAGACTCCCCACTTCTCTGGGGGCCCAGACAGCCTCACACAAGACGCTGCAGTACCCAGTCCTGGTTACCCTGAAATCCTGTCACAGATCATCTCTGCTTACATGTACCACATGGTCTACATCACTGACAGACAGCTAGTGGAATGGTGACCGCTGTTTCTACCCCATCAAATCATTTCATGTTTCTGCTGTTAAACTCAGGAAACTGGTTTGCTTTCTACCTATTTCTTCTTCTGTCAAGTAAATACTGTTGTAACTGTAAGAGGCTACACATATTTCAAAATCTACCCAGTGTCACAGCATTTGGGTCCCACATGCTAACTCCAGACAGTTCAGGAAATGAAAAAGCAGCAGTAATGTTTTCTCATGATTCCCCTGCTTTACATTGAAGAATTTGGCTGATAAGTAGTTACCAAGCCACAGGGCAGTTTGCCCTATCAGTGTGGGAGCACTTGTCAGAAATAGAACAGAGATATCAAGAAACACCCACACCCTCTGAGTACACCCACATTTTACGTGTCATCCACCCCCCGTCAGTAGGAAAAGTGGGAAGGTCAAATGTAGGTTACAGCTTTAATAATATCGCCTTAATAAAAATGTTTCCTCTCCAGTTTGGTAACACTTGAGCCACAACACTGTTCCACTGAAGAAATCGTTTAATTTTCAGGTAAGATGGGAAACTGAAACAGGCCCTTTCCAGTGGGAGGAAACTAACTCCAGCATTTTTGTTTGAAATTCTTTTTGGACAAACACTTCTGATAAGCCTCCACTTTCATTTTGACTACCATTTTTTTTGGCAAGGAAGTGCCAAGCAAGACATAGGGACAAAAAGTCAGTGGCAAACTAAGTTGTGTGTTTGCTAAGTTAACTCCTATTTCATAGCACACTCACAACGAGCAGACTACCTCCTTACTGACGCTGCTAGTGCTCTGGCTCTGGGTGGCTTCACACACAAGAAGCTGTCCTCAGAGAGCAAAGAACATGCTTTTACCAGCTGCTCTGCAAGGGGAGAACCTAATTACCTGCCTGTAGCTAATATGTATATACAGACAAACTAATTAAAGTGAAGTTACAATAAAGTTACCGAGCTGTTTTTGACTTTGCACTGCAAGACTTGAGTTTGCAGAACAGACAAGAAGCATTTCATGCTGAACAATTTCAGACCTGTAACTGTTACCTCTACAAATTTTGGCTAGGTCATAAGAAACAGGCATCATCTACCTATTAAATATGAGCAGCAAGAAAGATTGAGAGTCATTTCCCCCACAAACCACAACAAAATAGAAAGGGACTTGGGTTGACACCTGCTGCTCTTCTAAATGGATTTTGGATTTGAGGAACATGGCCATGAGATTGATATGAAAAAGTGGACTGGTAATCTGGTCTATTACTCCTTTAACCATAACAAGAATTCAAAGGTTGGAAGCGGGCAATCCAGACCAACAGGACCCTTAAACCACACTCAGATATGCATATTATTCTCTTTTACCATATTGTTATTAATTAAGGAGAAGAAGAGGAAAACCTGTTTAAAAATAACATTTAACCAACAACCACCATATGTAATTAGGAAATTACTACAAGAGTCACACAAGGCCCATCTCTGCACAGAACAGATTTCAGCCACTACACATGGCATTAAGAGCCCACAATCCAGTAGTAAAACTTGGTCAAACAAAGTAGTGTCAGACTAGAAACAGGGAGATCCAGGAGACCCAGGTCTAGGACAGCCAACACAGTCAGTGCTTAGCCACAAAGAAAGGACCTCCTGCCAAGCTCACAGGTCCGTTGCCACAGACAGCTAGCTTCTAGCACTTTTTACAGCTAGTCAGCTGAAAGGAAGAAATCAACACTTTTACCGCTAATCAGTCAGCAACAGCAGAAGCACAGCGGCTGTTCAAGGTTTGAAGTGTTTGCCACTTCCTCGAGGACCGTGGCTTGAACTCTGTATTACAAATAAACCCCGCATACTTCAGCCAAAGTGTTGACATATCATATACATAAGATACAAAGAGGAGCAACTCTTACCTTAGATTCCTTCTTGTCTTGCTTCTTCAAGAGGTGTATTCAAGGTCTGAGTTTCCTTTCCAGAGGTTATTTTCTAGGCAAAGATTGTTGATTGCAGCTCGGACCTCACTGATTGTAGAATGCAGTTTAAGTAGAAGCACACGGATGCCAAGAGGAGATAGATTACAAGCCAGGCATCAGGTGGTGTCTAATAGGAGCCAGGTTGGGCAGTAAGAAACATCTAACCTACTCACTGGTGGATAACTAATACACTTTCTTTTCTGGTACTATGTAACCTTTTGGCTGTATCATTGCTAGCTGTCTTAACTGTGCAGGCTTAGAGAACCCAGGGGACTCTACATCAGAACTACACAAACACAGTTTGCTGCACTGAAAGGTCACTGTTAACCTTCAGCGTGGACCGGCAACAACTCTGCACAGACAGGACAAACTGTAAAGGCCTGAAAAGCAGCCTCTGCTGCTCAATATCGTCTCTTCCCTTGTTTTGGTGTTCTCCAGCTTGCAGGGCTGGGGCATTGAAAGCAAGGGCAGTTACCAGCCACAGAGCTACCAATACTTCATACGTCTTCAAACAGAAACTACGCTCTTTGCTAGCAAACAAGGAGAGCAGGAAGATGCCCTCAACTTGGCCTTCACCCTGAGATCCACGACTCCTTGCTGCCATGGGGTTATGGGCACAACCAAGTAGCAAACCCTCTGAAGTAAAGCAGAGT